TTACTGACTGCGAGCGAGATAACATGGGCGCAGCAATGACGCAGACCTAGGCATAGGACCATCTATACTGTCACTTGTAGAATCCAAACTTAGTGACTCTTGTAGAGAATTTACTGTAGTTGTTTTATAAATTCAGTAGACCACTATTGAGTGTTTTTCAAATTCTGTGGAGTTTTTGGTCCTCGCATGGAGATATCAGAGATTTCGAAAATCTGAATCGATGTGGAAAAAATGTATGCCAATGAAGATGAGAAAGCTTTTCCATTTGCTAAACAGATCTTGTTCTATTAACTTATTATTGTATTAATTATAATACACTCTTTTTCCCCATAAGTTCAGACATTAAAGAAACATTTCTTTCATGATCGATAAAACTACAAATTAATTGAACATAAAAGACCGACATTTGGCTGCCCTTTTCGACTTTTCCTCGTGGAAATATCATATTCTAAGAACCGAGCAATACGCGATGCTTGTTAATAAGCAGAAAAAGTTTCTTAATCCTTCTTGAATGCCCGCGAATTTCCATAACAAAAAGGTAGAATCGTGCGGTATCTGAATCTCTCCTTTCCACGAAGCAATTAAAAGCTGAAAACTGTAATAAAAATAAAATCCTATCTTGCCACAGTTAAACTGTTATAAAAAAGATCGTTCTTATGTAGCGATAATTAGTCGTCCATCTCAATGGTAGATCTTTTTCCCTTTTTTCTGTCGCCGCCTTCTCGTTCTACTTCCCCGCGATGGTAGAGCCTTATTTTAGGATTTCAAGCCCGGCAAAAGGGATCAATTTCTTTTCTCGTGGAGGCTGCAGCGACGAACAAAGACACGGGGCCAATCTATAGAACTCTTAATCGCAATCTCCGAAAGTGGAAATTCTCCGTAATATCCCCTCCGAGCCGAGCTTCTGTTCGAGATCGACACTGAACGGCACAGAGCCTGTTCGCGTTTGCGTGCCATACGATTCACTTTGCCTTTGTTTAAAAATCGTTTCTCCGCCTTGGAATGTTGCTATCGGCGTTGACTTTAATTCGACGACGAAATTTACCCTTTAAAGACGAAATTAACCGCGATTTTATTGTTCTTTCTAACTCCTTTTCTTTCATTTTTCTTCTTTATTTTTCTTAACTTGCATTTTTTTTAAATTTTAATTACACTGATTTTATAATGCAACTGTAATGTTAAGTTGGTGAAAAAGTTCGTTTACTTGCAGTTAGGTAAAAATAGAAGCTTCTTTTGTTACTGTATCTATCTATCACTTTGTCGGTATTGTTTAATCTACGTTCAGATATCAGTGGCGACAAGAAACCTTCAATTAACGTCATAATCACCGTCATAGTCACTTAAATTACGTAAGAAATGTTTCTCGTGTTATC